CAACCTGAGTACATATGAAGGTCAATACTCCCACACCCATTCTACAGATGTATAAACTGAGACCATTTTCTGAAAAGCCAAGAGGTCATCTTGGCCAAAATCACAAGACTTCAGTAAAATGCTGATGAAGCAAGATTGAAACCTTAACCTTCTGAGCTTAAAATCAGAAATCTCATCAGGATCCTATGGAGCTCTTCAAGGACCAATTTAATATCATTAATTGAACTTTACCTTCGTCATTAATTGGACTTTACAAGTGACAATTAAAACAATGTGTACCTATATGAACTGAGATATAAAGAAACAAGCAAGGTCTTTTTACATATTTTTAGATGGATATTTATTGAAGTCCTCTTATAATTCTGAAACATTTCCTTGCAACCAAAACAAAAATTAAATTTTAAAGAGCATGCTGAGATTTAGTTGTGAAATGTCTCTTTAATGCAGTGTTAAAGCTTACCATCAGAGCACTATATCTAAATTTCATAAAAATTTGATATACCCCAACAAGCTTGTAGGGTGGATGTAGGACCTGTCTCCTATATTGGCCTTGAAAGGAAAATCTCCTATGTGTGTGCAATTGTGAGCTTATGTTAAAATTTTTCATTTTTTAGAGGCTGACTTTCAAATAGAAAGGGGTGCAGATAAATTATGTTGAAGGTATGCAAAAGCATACAATTTGTTGTCCAGAACTACAACTAAATCCTGAAGGCAACACTTTTTAAGCCATTTCTTAGTAACGTTACACATAAAATGATAAGTAGTCACAGCTCACAATACTTTCTTTCGTTAGAAGTAATTGTCATAATAAAATAATAGTGACAGCTGTAATAGCTAATATTTATTAAGCAGTTACTAGGTGCCAGGTACAATGCTAAGTGCTTCACATATGTTGCCTAAGTTAATACTAGCAACCTTAATTAGGTAGACACTGTTATTATTGACATTTTGCAGATATTGAAAATAAAGCAGTGCAAAATGTCTTCCCCTGTTTGCTGGGGCTCTATAATCAAAGGATCACTGCTCAGGATAGAACTTTATGCCTCGCTGTAGCCTTAGGATAAACTCCAAACTCTAAAGCTTTGCATGAACAGTCCTTAAAGATTTAGTTCCTGCCCACCTACCTCTTTAGCCTCATTACCTTACTGCCCCTACCACCACCCTTCAACCTTTATGCCAGTTAGTGAACTTTTATAGTCATGTCTCTGCTGTCACAGATACACTCTTTTCAGCATCTGTAAAAACAAGACTTATTCATGCTTTCAAACTCAAGTCATCTGTGAAAAGCCTTTGCTGATATTCTAGTTAGATTTAGTTGCTACTCCTCTATGTGTATTCTTGTTGTAGATCTTATGACACTGTAATACATCCATCAAATTATTTGTCTGTTTTTCCCACTAGACTTCAAGCTCCATGACATTAAACATATGATTTGTTTTGGTACCTCCAGTGCCTAACACAGGACCAAGTCTTTAATGGGTGCTTAAACAAATACATTTTGAATGAATTACCAAACCTCAAGTGATCACCCTGTTTGTTCTCCCACTCTCAATCTTCCTAGCCAGAGTTTGCTAAATAGCTATTCCCTATAATTTCATAATATTCAAAATCAGTAGAAGAAAGTCTAGACAAAGAGTTAGGGAACCTAGGTTCTTGTACCATCACTGTCATTTAGTAATTGAATGACTTTGAGGATTGATTCATTTAACTCCTTTTTTTTTTTTTTTGCACTCTTGCCGTGTCTCAGGAACTTCATGCCACAGTGGAGACACACCAGTGGACACAGGAGAACCCTTCCTTCAGGACGCCTGCATTGCCTAGAGCCAGATTTGTCTTTATAAAATCTAATAGTTGGACTAAGGTCCTCCCGGATTTAAAATCCCATGAAACAATTAAGCCACACCTCAAAATTCCATTAAAATACAGTATAGAAATACATAAAAATATGAAGTAAAAGATAACACCAGAAAAATGATTTCATAACCAGCCTCTGATATAGCAAGTCTGCAAGTATTAATTCTTCCTTCCAAAAATAGATATCTTATAAAGAAGTAAAATTGTAACATCTTTTAAAGATTAATTCTGATTTGTTCTAATACAAAATATTGGAACTCTCTCTAGACATAAGTAGTAGGTCTGCCAAGGACAAAAGGAAAAAAAAATCATTTCAGGGCAATTAACAACAATTAGAAAGGAATTGTATCCTCCGGGAAGATGAATCTGTTCTATATATCTAACGTTAACCACAACATAATGAGCAGGATTTCTAACCACATTTCGTGTGATGAATTTTTTTTGACTCATGGTAATAGGACTAAAAAAAGTAAAACTTATTATTCGTGGACAAATTACCTAATAAAAACTAAATTAGGCTATACTCTCAATTGTTTCATCATGAAAGTAGGTACAGAGTGTCATAATTATTTAATTTGTGTTCAAATCTCAGCTGGAGAATGTTTTAAATGAACAAATGATGCAAGTAATTTTAGAGGAAGGGAAAGCCCATGCAGCCAAGCTCATAAACCCAATATTTACAGACAGAATTAGCACACTTCTTTCCTAATCATATCCTGAAAGGTGTTTGAATAGCAAATCTAATTCTCAAAAGATAAGTTCAGCTATTCTTATCTTAGGTGAGTAAAACATGTCAATTCTTTGACATGCCATAATCATAGGATGTACTTCCTGACATATCCTCAAGCCAGTTGACATTGGTTGGTTGCAACTGATGGTTTATGTGGACACTGAGCTATGATGAGAATGTATAAATATATATATGTATATATATGAAGCACACAATGTTGGGTTTGTTTTTTCCATGAAAATCATAAATCATGGAAACTGAAGTAGACTTTCAGGTTATATGGTGAGTTTTCCATATTGTAGGAGAGGAAATTGAGGCCCAAACAGGTGAACAAAATTATTACAATTTGACAGTTTGTTGGTAACGGAGCCATGATGGTAGGAGAGATCTACTGTCTCCTGCCCAAAGCTCTTCCCACTGCATCATGCCCATGCTCTCCTTGTGGGCTTGAGTTCCAGCTTGCAACCTCCCATTTATTGCATTGAATCATAACAGCAGGAGCATGAGTACAAGTGGAAGGGGGATAATACAGAGGCAGCTCAGGTGGCTGGCTCCTGCTTTCTCGGCAAATGAATCCCTCTTCATGGTTATGGGAAGGAAAACAACCGCTGGCTTTGCAGCAGGCCTGGCATATAGGAAATGAAACAAAAAGCCTTCCTTATAACTAAATTTCAGAGCGTGAATAAGCTCAATTTCCCCATCTGGAGTCTCTTTGACTAGACAAGCCTTACAAATTAATATGAGTGCATAGATCTGGGGCCTGAAGGAAATTAGGTCAGGCCTAGAAAGGAATCAGGTACTGACCACAAGTCAGAATTGTAATATGGATTCAAAACAAAGGGCAGAGATATAATGCTGTAATTCACTGAACACCATTAGGACGATGCTACAGTATGAGAGGAGGAAGCCTTCGAGACAAAGTTATAGAGAAGGAAACAATATTGAAGTATGGAAAAATGCTCTAATCCAAATACGAGTTAGACCTTGGTCCCTTTTTCAACCAACTCCTCCGATTCTCTCTCTCTCTCTCTCTCTCTCTCTCTCTCTCTCTCTCTCTCTCTTTCTCATTTGATCTCACCTTTATCTAGGATGTTTTTGCTTTCATTCTGCAGTTTTATTTCCCCCTTTTCCTTCTTTCTGGGAGTTGAGACCCACAGCAACACACAGAAAAAGTGCTTTGATAAGTAGGATAAGAAAGCCATTCTGTGATGAAAACTATCAGAACACATTAGTCTCTTTGTGTAGCTCAGGAATAAAAGTGACATGTGTAGCAGCATTTTTAAGAACCTGGACAGGAGATTCATTCTCTTGAACATGCTCTCTTCAGGTCTCCTGCTCATTCTCCAGTGATGTGCTTTGAAGGCTTTGTATATGTCCTACCATAAGAGAGTGGCATTTATGAGCACCAACACCAGGATGTTCCAAATGCATTCTGTCACTAAGTGCCGGTATGAAAAGACTGGGCATTTTTCTCTCTTGGGATTTTCCTGTGGCATTATCCCTGTGCAAAGATCTGAGCTTCTTTTAAAAGTTCAAGATTGATTTTTGGTGGAGAAGATAAGTGAAGAATTTTCTAGCTAACTAAGAAACAGATTCTTTTGATTAAATGTCAGATTAAGAAAAAAAAAATCCTATATAGGGTACTGTGACAATTCTCTAAAGGGTATGACTGTGAAAAGAATGCAGATATTTTAGGATAGAGGGCTATAGTCTTGAGAATTTTCATTTTCTATAAATTTCCCATGGTTGACATAAGTTCTAAAATGTGTTCATGTTCATAGTGTTTCAGATTCATTTATGCAGAATTATGTAACACATGGAAAATCTCCCTCAAACTCTGATGTATTATGGGGACACAAAATTTTAAAAATTCTACTTAGAAATATCCAGTCCTCTCTACCATCACAAATTCTCAGAGCAGGTTAAGTGTGGACAGTGTGTCATTATCCCTGTTTTTAAAAACAGAAGAATGGTAGGAGTATCTTTTCTATTAACACCACCTCAAATACAAGTGATCCTTTCCTTATGATTTAAAATATTGTAGTGATAGTCCACAGGCCAGTTGCCTACTGTTTCCTGTTACCAGCCCTGTATCAGAGCATGTCCAGATAAGGTTGCACATTATTTATCTGAGCATTTCTGCAGACTTGCTGGACACTTTGAACACTTAACTTTAGCTTGAATATTTAACCAATTAATCTTAAAAAAATATAAAAGGTTGTTCCAGAAAACTTTTTTTGAAAAAAAATCACTGTATCATGGATCAAAAAAAAAAATTAAAAATGTTAAAGACATGAGACGAATTGTGACAGTAAGAAGGAATAGCTTTATAAACTCATCTTTCACCTCCTTCAAATTCTAGACAATATTCCTTGTCAACTTCAAAATAGAAAATGCCACAAATGTAAGCCCTTACCAACTTCCCACTTCAGGAGGCTGTTGTCTTCCCTCTCCATTTTTCCAATGACATACCAGATACATGCCATCCAGTGTGCAAGGAGCGCAAACATGGACATGAGCAGAGTCAGGACGATTGTGCTATGTTGGGAATAACGGTCCAATTTCTGCAGCAGACGCAGAAGACGCAACAGCCGGACAGTCTTCAGGAGATGCACGAGAGACACCTGTGGCAGGAGACAGAGCAGCACAACGTGGTGCATGGGTTAAATCCATGCCATGACATTTACTTTAACTTACAGCCATCTTAAATTCTTGAAATTAAAAATAGTTATATTTCCAATACTATGGTCATTTTTATGACTGTTGATGTATTACATCAAGAGTAATAAGATAAAGGAGAACAGGAGGAAGGATAGGAGGAAGAGGATAATTTAATTTCTTTGAATAAATACTTACCTTCCTTAATTAGGATTTATCTCTTTTTTCTTACCTGTCTTATTTCATTCAAGTTCATACATTCTGATACACAACTGAAACCATTATGGTATGGCATCAGGATTGAACCTAAGATGTCTCCACCTCCTTACCCACATTTTCTTTCTACCCTACTTCCCTTTCCCCTTGTAAGGGAGCTGCTTGATAACAATAATTCAAATAGATTGAAGTAAAGGTCTAGAAAGAGGTAATAGAAGTAACTTAGGGCTTATTTCTTTAAAGAAATAGACCCATAAAACTTGAGCAAGTTCTGCTTACAATTATCAGTAGCACCTCTTGCCTCATGCTGTACTATCTTCCTTCTCACATTATCAATGGACAGAGAAAGCATTTGCCTGACACACATACATTATGAGCTTTCTCTCAAACAAACACACTTAGGGAACCCAAATCAAATGAAACAAAAATTTTTGAAAAACTTCCTCGAACCTGCCTTTGCAGGTACTCATGCAGTAGTCTTGTAGCTAAGGAATTATTTTCCTGACTATAGGGCTCATTTGAAAAATGTGCACCTTTGGTATCTACCAGAAAGCTCAATTTCACTAGTAATAAGTGATGCACATAACACACTCTCTTTTCATACCCTCAATGAGCATTCTGTTTTTTTCTCCTTTTTTAATTGAAACGATTGTACGTATCTGTGGGGTACAGTATTGAATATCAATACCTGTGTGCAATATGGGATGCTCAAATCAAGATAATTAGCATATTCAACATTATACAATAATCAATTGTTGTGGCTCTGAGAGCATTCTAAAATAGAAAAGACAAATAAAATATTAACTTATATGGAAAGAGAATTTGACAAGTTCCTTGACCTTATCTGATTTCTTTGAGAGAGCCATAAATAGAGGGGAAGGAGGGGGATTGTATGGCTATGACTTATTACAGTCTTTCCTTTACAAAACATAGTCATAAACAAGGTCACCACCTTTTGGGAGTTTGCCTTTGTAATTAGCCAGAATCAGTTGGCTTCTCATTCTTTCCTTGGACAGCCAGCTTCCCCTTACTCCAAGAAATATATACCTGCAACAGTTCCTGACACATAATAGTAAGAGCTCAATAAACATTTGTTAAATGAGTCAATAGAGAAATTACTGAGATGCAAAATACTTCAAGCTCAGCATAAAAATAGATATCTAGTAAAACTGTGCTGAGTTGAAATCTTGTGAATTATTCTATACTCAAACACGATAAAATATTAAGGGCACTTGGATTTGCCAGTTAGCTGTGCTCCTTTACCTTGTCTTGTCATTCTTCTGTGTCAAGTTCACTTTATTCTCCTTCACAGCCAAGTTCTCATGTATCATGTCTCTAGTTTGTGGTAAATTAGATGGTTGCATGCTAAGATTTTGCAATCTCTGCTTTGTTGTTTAGAGGAATTACTGGGGATGGAGTTTACTTTAAAGGTAGATGATTATGATAGATAGGTGACGATTTAATAAGTGAAATAAAACTTGGAACCGAAGTCCCAGATGGAGGAAGCCATCTGGACACATAATATTGATAGAGTCTCCCCATTTTTTCTGATCAGACAAAGGATGTTCGAGAGAAGAATGTGGAGCTACTCTTTCAAGTGAATCATAGTCATTTGCAAAGATGAGGGACATGAACTTGGAAGTCCACTGAGGCAGCCCTGGTGATTTTGGTGGCATGTTATTATTATTTTTAAATTATACTTGCTGTTGTCAGAGTCAATAGCTTCCTGCTATAAATATCGATTTCGATTCTTGATGAATGACAAAATATAGAGGCATATTCGATTTAGATTGAAATATGTGATCTGCAAAAAGGAGAGAATTTTTTTTTACTCTTGGGAAGCTGTTCTGAATTTGTCACTGATGAAAATTATCGCTACTTGTAGATAGGTGCATTCATCAAAATCCCCTATCAAATGGCAGTTTCCCATTTTACCAAGTGAACATGACCATCTACTGGATACCAACTGGGAAGAGAAAGCCAGGAGGGGAGCGAGAGAGAGAGAGAGAGAGAGAGAGAGAGAGAGAGGGAAAGAGAGAGAGAGAGAGAGAGAGAGAGAGGGGGGCTAACTAGCATATCTGAGGTCTTTCTAGGTGTCAGACACTTAGCAAAGCCTTTTATAAAAATGTTACCTTTTTATGCTGTTCAGAAACACTGTAGAAATTTTTTTTTTAATGTGCATTTCAGGCCTATTTTGATGTTAACTTCCCCAAGGAAGTCACTCAGATAGTAAGTGATAAAACTAGAATTCATATCTTTGCCTTTTCTACTCTATCACACTCCCTATGTCTTATACATAATTTTATCTCATAGTGCCTTTCATAGTGACATACATAGAATATTTTAATAAATGAGTGTGTGAGCTGCACTTACAACAATTGCCATGAGCAATTGTGGGTAATTGTGGGCCGAACCCTAAACATACAGCACATTTTTGGTGACTGTAATGCATTTTTAAATATCATATGTGAAGATGCACTTCGCTGGACACATTTTAGATTTGAGAGAAAAAACTTTGGCTGTTTATGTATTTACTTGTTTATTTTCTTCTTTTTGTAAGTCTTTGCTGTATAACAGCATAACACACAAATTATTCTTCATAACTTATGTTTTTCTGGGAAAGAAAAATAATATCTCGACCAAGCTTTTCTGTTAAAATAGAACATTTCACCCTGGCTAACTTATTTGAAGAGGATAACAAATATATATGCCACTTTTCAAAATAATCATATGCTTGGTCCTGTGAAAAGCAGAAAAACTATCACTGAAAAGACAGCTTTCCTCCTTCGTCTTTTTCTTTCTTTCTGACACAGATGTTGATCTATATCTTGCATTCTTTATAAAGCATTTATGCCAGATATCACAAGACAGAAGGATGAAAAGAGAACAGGACATCATTGAAAATGTACACGTACTTCAAATTCATCAAAATGTGAGACTTAGACTTTTTAAGAAATAGTTCATCCATGTTAACTTTGGGCAATGAGAATGTTAATGACATATAGGTATGTTATGTATTTTTGTTATATGTATATTTTATAATATAACTATATATTGTGTATATACATATTTTAAATTATCCTGTCTGTTCAGTACCCAAAGAAAAATGGAACATCAAAAAATTTATTAGTATTTAGTAGTAGAGCAGCAAATTAACTTAAAACAATTCTATTAAATATCTCCTATTCGACAATTTGCCAGGAGAATTTGGAAAATTTTCTTCACCATTGTTGTGAATTATACACTTCCTTTGAATTTTTTTCTGCAGTCTTGCAAAAACCTTGTTTTAAGTCATTACACTTTCATTATAACACACTTATCTAGTCAAATCCAATCTTAAAAAGCACTTTAGAAAGCCTAGATAACAATTCAATGTAGCACTGATTGAAATATTATATACCAGATTTTCCCTGGGAGCTTTCCTTTCAGTTGAGTTATAAACCTCTTAAAGAGGTTGACACTTTCAACCTCCCAACTTAAAAAAAGAAAAAGAAAAGAAAAATACTATTGTACAGGCAACTAGTAAATGCACAAATCTAGTTAGGATTACAATTCTACGTTGATTCTGAAGTCAATAATGACTGCATGTGAAACATTAATCACTTCATTTAATATTCAAAACTAAGCTTTTACGTTCTTGAGAGAAAATGTGATTTCTATGGGGGATTGTCAACTGACTAGGAAATGTGTTTAATGTGAACTAATGTTTAGTAAATTTTTACACACTAAAATTGGTTTCTCTAGCTGAAAAATAGTATTAATGGTCCAAAAATGGCCTCCTTAAAAGTCTCCCTATTTATAAGGGGGCACTTGATACCTTTAAGAATATTAATCATTAAATAGTAAGAACAACTACTGCTACAATGGGAACTCTCTTTTCTGTGAGGAAACATGAGGATAAAGTGTTTAGAAGAAGAAAGAAGAGAAAGTACAAGTATTAATGCAAATTCAAGAGAACTCTCAGGTTTTATGTTAGTCATTGTGCCATTTTTATAAGGATCCCAACATTTTTATAAAGATTCCTAAAAGGTGGTTGAATTCTCTTATTTTAATTTCAGCATCCTTCTCTATATTGATCAGTCTTCAGTTGGTTTAAAGGTTATAAAAGGAGAAAAAAAACTCTCCACCAAATTCTAGAGGCAAACATCTGCCTAGGTAATATCATTTGATGCTTATATTCCCACAGATGGTTTCCTTATTAAAGGATTTGTTTAGTGAGTCTGTATTCATGATAAATTCAGCCTACTGGTCTATCCTGGTTCTGGGTATTTAAATAAGTAAAAACAGGTCATGCAAATTGCAAAATGAAGTAAATTCCTCAAGTGGAGAATCTGGCCTGCAGATTACTGGGCACCTTGGCGTCTTTATTAAAGAGGGCACAAAACCCCAGAAGCACAAATTGCCACAAACGCTTAAAACCTGAACATGTAAAAAATAAACATAGGCATAAAACCAAGCTTCGAGGCCTTGCAGAAAGGAGCTCTTTACTCACCACGGTGACGTTGAAAGCGTACAGGAGATCAAAAGGCAGAGCAGCGATTAGATCAATGATGAACCAGGTTGTGACATAGTGGATGCAAATTGATCTTGCCTCAAAGATAACTTGGCCAGATTTGCTGACATAAGTTGTTCGGAAATTTAAAATAATATCTGCTTGGAAAAAAATGATAGAAAAAGAAGAGAGGGAGAAGAAAATAGAAAGAATGAAAGATGAGAAGGGAAGGAAGGAAGGAAGACAGACAGGCAAGTAGGCAGGGAGAAAAGGAGGAAGAAAATTGCAGAAAAATTAAAATTAGGCAAAGGTCATCTCTAAGCCTACTTCAGATTGATAATATCCAAAATTTTCCCCTTCACTGACCCAGCTCAACTCCACAAACAGACATTGAAGAAAGGTAAAGAAAGTAATATTTTCTGAGCATTTTAATATGCTCCAGATAGGGGACCCATGTGTTAAGATAATTAAGATGAATAATCATAGCAATAACAGCAATAGTCATCACTCACTAAATGCTCACTGTGAACCGAACATTGTTCTAAGAGCTTAGCAGGTTATTTCACTTAATTCTCAGAACATCTCTTGAAGTTGACAGCATTACCCCATGTTGAAGAGGCAGAAACTCAGTCCCAGTGAGGAAAAATAACTCATCCAAGATTATATTGCCAAAAGTGGCAGGGATGCTTTTGAATATTGGTGATTTTGCAGTTCGTATTCCTCATTTTACACAATACTACTTAATTCTGTGTACAAAAATTTTACTAACCTCTGTAGAGATACGAAATTCATCCCCATCCCGGTGGCTCTCCTATTAACAATATACCAGGAGTTTCTGTTTTGGATTTCCAAGTTAAATTTCCCCATTCTATTTTAATGGAAGAGGTCATCATTTTCAGCCTTTCCCTATATCATTATTTATTATAAATTTATTGAGCTTTTCACAATACATGAGGTTCTCATGAGTGTTGGTTAAATGACAAAGCTGCAGCCAAGTGGGTTACCCGAAGCTCACTCCTGCTGCTAATGAATAAACATCCCTGTGACTGTTGTCTTAGGTCTTGGATTAAATATCATTAAGACATTTTCCTTAATTTGTTTTAAGATTGAGTAAAAACAGGCCATAGGGAGTTTCTGGATTGGTGCACACATGTCATTATTGTGTATTTTATGGACTGGCGACTCAAACAGAAAGAGTTTTCTCCATGAAACTTCATTTTTAGGGAGTGCCATGGTTCAGTTATTCAAGGATCAAAGGAGGGAATGTGGGAAGTAAATATCTCAGTCAATGAAACTAATAATTCAAGGAGTTACGAAGCCAACACTAAGTTCTGAGTAACAATACAATGATCAGATTAATTGGGATACTCTTTATAGCTAATTTAAACCATTGAAAATGAGTAGAGCAGTGTCATATGAGGTTAAGAATTTGTTGATACCATGATCATGATAATGACATTGATAAACATCACTTATGATAGTGCTTATTGTATATAATTTTTATTTTTCACTTCATGTTCACATCTATGGAAGGCAGAATTCTAAGATAACCCCCAATAACCCTTGCCCTCATATGATCTCCTCCTCTAGTGAGGGTGGAACCTGTGAACATGTTGAGATATCAATCAATGATGCAGGTTATATGATATAACAAAAAGGAGATTATCCTGAGTGGCCTGACCTAATCTGGCTAGCCCTTTAAAAGCAGGCAGTGTTCTTCAGCTGGTGGCAAGTGACTGGAAATCAGTGAGAAGAAAGGAGTGTGGAATTCACATGGCGAGGGACAGCAGGCAGCCTCCAGCTGCTCAAAGCAACCCCTGGCTAACATCTGGCCAAGAAAATGGGGACCTCAGTTCTAAAGCCACAAGGAAATGAATTCTTCCAATAGCCACATGAGCTAGGAAAAGGATCCAGAAAGAAATACAGCTCAGCTGATGCCTTGATTTCAATCTTTAGAATCTCTGAGCAGAGAATCCAGCTAAGCCATACCTAGACTTCTGACCTATAGAAACTGCGAGATAATAAATGGATGTTTTAGGCTTCTTGGTTTGCAGTAATCTGCTATGCAGCAATGAACAATACAACATACATTATGTAATTTGGCTCTCATTAGAGATTTGTGAGGTGAGATAATATAGGAATTATGACAATGCAGATTACTATTATATTGTTATAGATAACACCTATATTTTTAGTAGGAGCCCAGTACTCTACTAAACCCTTCTGTATTATAATCTCAAAAACTCCTTACAACAATATTAAAAGGTAGGCACTTTTTATTATCCCCTCTTACAGATGAGAAAATTGAGAGATAAAAGAGGTCAGATGACTTGCCCAGGGTCACACAGAGGATGAAACTGAAGCACAGGATTAAATCTCTCAGGTACTGAAGGAATAAGACTCAGATCCAAATCTGAGTTTCCATTCAGTGCTTGGACTTTTGGTGCCTTAACAGAGACCTGTCACATCACAGATGTGGAAGCAAGTTCTGGGTGACCCAAAAAGAAAACAATAATCTTTCAAGTCTATTGTGAATGACCTAACTTTAAAAAAATGGATTATTAAAAGTCATTTTTGGTCAATATATAAAAATGCCTAGATATTTATGTTTTTAATATCAATTATATGAAAGGATGAAGTTAATGGATAAAGCACTCATATAGGATGAAAACAATCTCAGACGATTTCCACTGCAGAGCAAAACCGCTATCATGGCCAAGTACCAATGTGTCATTGAAGCGTGGCCACCAGCAGGGAGAGGGAGCCAGTGGAACGCCATCAAACTGTTAAGTGCAGCATGTGATCTTTTCAGTCTTCCTCCTTAACTTTCTAGGCTCATGTATTTCTGCATTAGCAAAGCGGTTTAACAGATCAGGCCAATAACTTTTAAAATAAAGCAGAGATTTCAATTTCAGTGTTTCCAAAAGGAAGCTCAGGTGAACTCTTTAAGTTCTTATGAGAGAGAGATCCAGAGCTATTTACTAGGTCCTTTAGTGATCTTTGGTTTCTACAACACAAGCTTAGGTAAGTCCCTAAGTTCTTACTGCACAAATTCCTTGCGTGTTTACTGATTGATCCCCAGGTCTAGTACAAACATTACAGAAAACTCACTACTGTCATCCACATATCTGGGGCATTTGCATAAATGGAAGAATGAATGAAATGAATGACATTTGGTTGACTGATACAGCAAAATTTTTTAAAGCTATGTGGTTAATTATGTGGCTGACTAAAGAACAAAATAGAGGTTCAGACTTCAGAATAGAGCAGGTGTTTTCTTAGATGAGTCACTACAGTTAGTTTAGGAAGATTTTAAAAAACAATTTGTTATTCAACTGAATTAATTAGATGAATAGAGATATACTAACTTTAGGTTTAAAGAGAAGTAGTTATGAGACTTCAAACACTAATAGCTATAATAGTAAAAGTATAAGTTTTTAAAATCTATACACAAATATACGAATTTATTTTTGAAATATCTGTGTACTTTTAGGTTTATTTTCAGGGGAAAAAACCTACATGTATATCATATATATTTTTTTTTTGTCTCAGTGTTGCCCCCGTACCGGACCGGGGACCGGCGACGGGATCGCAAGCCTCGGCGTTG